GTTTAAGCCCCTTCTTGTTTAATCTTCTCATGAGCAAAATTATCAACAAAGTAACATCTCTTAATCTCGGATATAGTATAGGCAACAAAAGAATTGGTATGGTGTATTACGCAGACGATGCAGCAATTATTGCCGAATCAGAAGATGATCTCCAAAGGCAGCTCTTTCAGTTCTTTCAAACAAGCCGACTACTAAATATGAACATCTCTACCAACAAAACTAAATGTATGACAATAGCAAAAGATCCGCTCAGATGTAAGTTAGTGGTTGAGGACAACCCCATAGAACAGGTGATGCAATTCAGATATCTGGGCATAGATATATCAAGCACCCACGACCCAGTAAAGGACCTGAGGAGTCAGATCAACAAAGCATCTGCACTGTCAGGATGTCTGCGGGAGATAGTCTTCAGCTATTTTGGTTGTTTATTTGCAATTTACGCCAAAAATAAGCGTTTTACATAAAAATCATAGGAATATATTTTGTTTTAAAATAACCCAATATATTAAAAAAAGGGGGTTTCGAAGTGAAAAGGCAAAAAAATAGGTTACTATTAAAATTTTCGGTAAACTTTTTAACACAGCATATTGGTTTACCATATCGTCAAAATCCATAAACAAGATCCAGAGATACAACAGCTCCGTCTTCCTCCACCGGTCCCGCGAGTTTCAAAGCCAGCTGCTTTTTAGGGTCACATTTTGATGTTTTGTGGACGATTCCGTTAAAAGACTATCTATTTTGAATTTTACACATTAAAACTTTAAGGAATGTTGTTTCAAATGACGCTAATAATAATAATAAAACTGCTGTCTATCTAAAAAAAAGGGACTAACTTCGTCCCAAATTTTCCTAAGACAACTTTTTCTTTCTTTGAAATTGTAGAAAAATGCAAGCTTTCCAAATATGTCCAACTGTTAAACAGTTATTGTAATTGTTTATAAGCAAAAAAATGATGTTTTGCAATATTTAAATCTATGTTTCTTTACTTTTTTGAAATAAAGTTAATAGAATGATCCTTCTTCTTTTATAAACTATCCGTAGAATTACTGTAACTGCATCATTTTTTGACTTAATTTTGCTGCACAATTTAATTTGGGATAAACAAATAAAATAACTTTTAAACAATTTGACTGATCGTTTTGAAATTGTAATCATGTTTTAAGCACGATAAGATCCAAAATTATGTGTAATATGAAAGTTCTAAGTTCATTTTTAAAAAAGTTATTAATATTTATAAACAACTTAATTTTCTTACTTATTTTGTAACTCTCTAAGCAACAAATAAGGATGAAAACATTAAAAACGCCATTTTGAAGGTTATTATATGACTCCTAAGTTACTCTTAATATTCTTATTATAATAATAATATCATATCTCAATTATTACTCTTAGATTTGTTTCAAATACTTCAGTTTTTCTCTATCAGTACAGACGAAAAAAGTGAAAATTTAACGTTTTTCGACCTTAACTTCATACTACTCAAGTTCATACTACTCAAAACAACTGTTGTTTCCTGGCCTATAGAGTGTCCCAAACAGGGTACTTTTTTTGCATATTCCCCTGGCCTAAATTGCTTGTCTTCCATTTAGCTATACACATTTCCTTACTCGCTGTTAATGTAGTAAGTACATTACAATATTATTCAGAGAAATAATACCAAGATAAAAACTAAAAAATAATAAAATTTGGCATAGAGTATATAAAATGGTCAAAAATTTCTACAGATTCCTATCTTTCCTCCACTTTAACTTTCCATCGTTTCCAACTGTAGTAACTAATATCTTCTTAATATATATGAGAGACAAACAAGTACCTTCTTGGTAGTTAACATTTCTTGTTGTCTGTTAATTCTCCTTTTTTGCTTTGCACAAAATTACGACTACCACAATGTTAGAAAACAACAAGTAAGATTAGTTTCATTAAACGGCATCAGATTACATGGTTTTAAGCAAATTTGAAATGCAGATACTGACAAAGGGTTGTATTTTCGAGGCGTAGGCAGCTCCACAGAAATCTAAAATGCAGGGAACTTTTCTGAAATTATATATATATATATATATATATATATATATATATATATATATATATATATATATACAAAATAACGAAACAGATCGGAATACGTCTTAATTTGTGTGGATTCAAATGTCCGTGTAGGAAATCTACCAGTACCAGGAGTACTATTGTCACCTTTGCTGAGTAAATGAGAGCCGGAAAGATCTAAAACAATTCATCTTTAACAACCTTAAACACACAAACTCTTTTTCCTTCAAAATGGTAGACAAATTTTGTACGTATTAAATAATGAGACTCCTATAAACTTGCAAGCTAAATATTACAATATTTTTATTTTTTTCTTTTGTACACAATGATTAGAGACCGTGGCACTTACCACATATTATACGAGAAAACTTAAAACATCACAGAGAACCATGGAGCAAGCAATTTTACAATTTCACTGAGGGATAGAATCAGAAACGAAGAGATCAGAAACATAACCAAAATAACAGATGAGGTAGAGTTGACTAAACTGTGACATTGGGTCACGGAGCAAGAAAATCTGAAAATAGAAGGGCACGTCGAGTAAAACCATAGAGACCAAGACAAATGAAAAGAGGTAGAGGCATAGAGGCAGGCTAACTAAAGAAGATATGTAGACGATATCCGAATTATAGCTGGAAGATAATGGAAACGTAAAGCTCAAGACATATATCAATGGAGAAATTTGGCTGACGCCTTCTCCAGGAGTGAATGAAAGAGTTGAAAAAAAAGAAGATAAAGCCGATAAAAGATAAGCCAAAAACAATAAACAATAATTAATGTAAATAAGACAAGAAAATTAAAACTTGAAAACAGAACTAAAACTACTAAGGAAAGAATCGAACACATAGAGAAATACAGTAAGAAGAAAAACCTAATATCAGGATTAAAAATGGACACAATCGACGATAGAAACATAAAAGACGGAATGGAGAATTTCACAGCTGGAGAACTACAAGTAACAGTGAAATTAAGGAATGCCACAAATATTGGGGAGAATCTCTGCGTTATATAAATATTAACAATGCTAGAAAAAATATAGATATTGAAAAATCAGAGCAAGTTAAAAAACCACCTCGACCGCATTTACATAAACAATGACCTAAAAATACAAGAAAAGGAAATGTAGCAGTCTGATTATTCAATGCAGTGTTCAGGAATGGAACAGGGCAGTCAAGATTTGAACTCTTGAAACAATAGTGCGACCAACGATGTTGTATGCATGTGAAACTGAGATAATGAATTAGAAAGAAGAAAAAATGTTGGAGATTTGGAAGAGGAAAATCTTGGAAAAACTTTGTAATGGTATAAAAACGCTAACGAGGAATGGAGAAAAAGAAAAGGAGCTAATGGAGATGTAAAAGAAACCCAAAATAACACATAAAATCATGGCACATTGAGTTAGATGGTTGGGGCATGTTTTACGAATGCCAAAAGAAAGAAACCTGTTAAGAGATCTGCAAGCAGGAGAACAAGGGAAAAAATGAAGAGAGAAGCCACGAAGGAAGTGGTTCGATGCCGTCCGAACTGAGGAAGAAATGTGGAGGACCGGAAAAAGTGGGATAAACTAGTCAAGATTATCGAAGCCAAAGGCCTCTAAGGCCTGTAATACTATATATATATATATATATATATATATATATATATATATATATATATATATATATATATATATATACACTCTTTCAGACATTTTCTGCACAGTTTATGTGTATTGGGCAGCTGATACCTCGAAACCGCAACGCTTTGCCAATTTCTGTATTTGGAATTTATTTAATACCAGCATGTGATTGCAATTTAGAATCACATGTTATCCTCTCTTCAGATGTGCTTAAATATGTACATATATATATATATATATATATATATATATATATATATATATATATATATATATAACCATTATTTTTGTATACTTTTTTTTTCAGGCTACTTCAAGCATCAGCAAGAAGCGTCACTACCTGACTTGACAATGGCAAGTGCGGCCTTGGCGAAACGTCGTCAAAATAATGGTTTTCCTCAAAACCAAAATTATTCAACCCGGAAAACCGCAGAAAGCATATATACATATATATATATATATATATATATATATATATATATATATATATATATATATATATATATATAATAGATATTTTAAAATAAAACAGAAAAAACTTTAAAAAGTGTTCGTCAACAGATATAAAGGTTTTTAGGTTTTTACAATTTTAATCTATCTGGCAATTTAAGTTAACAAAATCTTTCGAAGTTCAAATTTAAGTATATTTGTTTAAATAGATGAAAAAATTATAAAGCAGTTAGAAGTGTTGAATTTATAATTTATCCACTAAGGTCAACGTATGTAGGGATGATACACGCAATAAGTTATAAGCAATATTTTTGGTAATAAATACTGGATTTGATAATAACATTTCTACTTTTAAACATTTCCACTTTTAATCGTGAAAAATATTTAAACTCTTTTAATTCATGAACTCATATTATGTGTCCCCAGCTAATAAATGTTTGGAAGTTTACGCGGGGTCATACAGGTTGAAGTAAAAAAATAATTATGTAATGTTTAGAGGTGGCGAATTTTGTGTTTGACTTAATTTAATTACCAATTGAGGAAGAGATGCGGGGATGGTATATTGGGACAATAAATTAAGGATAGTATTATTGGCAATAAACGTTCGATGGAATAATAACGCACTTTTAAGAATACAAGTTTGAAATCATTGTTAATAACAATATAGTGAATTAATTGCAGAAGCAATAGATTCCAATCATAAACTAAAAGAACTATGTAAATAATTTATTTTAATAAATAATGACACTTGTTTTCCCCGTTAATAATTGGTTAGTAGTTGATAAGTTATGTACATTCAAATAAAAAAAATTGTAGTAGAAAGGTGGTGAATTTGGTATTTGTGTAAATAAAATTACCAATTAGGGGTTGATAAAAAATTGGGACTTACAATAAGCACTAGTGTCGTCAGTGGTGCCGTTGACTGTTCCGTCAGGAAGAATTTGTAAATGTCGATTCTTGATGAACATTTGTATTTTTCTGGCGGTACCAGTGACGTGAGAGAGATTTGTGCTCCTTTCGTTGCGTGCTGCTGGATCCTCTAGCAATGACTCTTCTGAAGAAGTAGGGGTTGTGCTATCTGTTCGAAAAGGGGTCAGATTATTGCAAGAGTCAGCTAATGGAGCAGCGTATACGAGACCACAAATTGAAGCAGCTAACAGTCCCAGAAACGTTTTCACCATGACTGGGACATAGTGTCGCACTGCTTGCTCACTGGCGTTGTCGACTCCGGTGTCGACCGTTGATCTTAAACACCGTCACAACACACGTTGACGTTATCACCATAACTCTCTATTATTACACACGCGCTACTTCTTCGCCGGTCGCGAACAGACTAACTAAAAATACCGAACTCACCGTGTCTGTGTCTATTAGCCGATACGATACGGGTGCGATCACTGCGATCTCTTTATGCCCATGCGGTCGCATGCTGTATGCCGGTCTAAACCCGATGACGCTTGATCTTTAGGATTTGTCTTGTTTTCCTGCTATTCTGCCTGCCGATCGCAACGTCTAGACGCCCGCCTTTCAAATGTATTCAATCTTAGGTCTTACATCCCGGTAGAAAATACAGAACTTCATTGACTACCACACTTAAAAAAATCGGGGACTTTCTTAAATATTTTCTGCCCCACTTCTACACCATACCTATTCCTGCTTAATACGCACAGCAGAAACCAATTTCATAGGAATTATAGCGTCAAATTGTCCTTCTGCGAAACAGCGAATTAATGATATAAACTGTGTGCAAAATCTCACGTCCACTTTCAGTCTACTTAAGTACTTACGTGCATTTTAATAGCAAAAAATATATTGTATAAATTATAATATACAAATGATATAATACTAATAACAATAGCAATATTTTTTACAAAATCAATAATTGCTGTGTCAGTAACATACTATTTATAGAAAAATTAATTTAATAACTCCATTTATATCTATCATATGATATTACACTACTCTGATCTCTTTAAATAAGTAAATATGAACGATGCTTAAAAATTTTTTGTTCTAATTAAAACTACGATAAAATGTATAGATTACGCGGATTGTTTAAAACCAGAATCACTTATGTCTTAATTACGTAGGGTAAACAATAACTATAAATACTTGTTATAAAAATAATAAAAAATGGAACACTAACAAAACAATTAATCTGCTCGATACAAAAGGATGAGTACAGAAGTACAGATGTACAAAAAACAAAGTCAATAAAGCATGTAAATGTGAACAAGTGAAAAAAGTTTTATTTGCGGATTATGCTACTAAATAAAATTCAAGAACTTTAACAATATCTTGTGATATATGTATGTAAAGTAAATACCCCAGGAAACATAAACATAGCAAATCTAATCAGAGTTATTATAATTTTTTGTGTAGAGTTCAAGCAAACATATTTGACTAACAGATAAACGTTTTGTTAACGAAAGGGGTAAGATATAAATACAGGGTTATTCAAGTTTTTCGACATGAAAGTTTATGGTTATACTGTGTGATTTAAAAATAGTTTTATCTTTTGTGTCTTGTAGAAATACATTTTAAAATTGTTTTGATCATATACAGGGGTACCCCAAAAAATGTTAATATATTCAAATCCCCTTTTGGACCCGTAGGATGTAGGAGTATAAACTATTTATATTTATATGGACTTTTTACAAACATTTTTCAGTCCTTCCTGTTTTCGCTATTTATTTCGCTTTGTGCCAAATTTTTTTGCTATGCTTCAATATCTTTACAACCGCATTATTCCAAGTATCTTTAGATTTTCCTCTTCATTTCTTTTTATCGATCTTGTTTCCCATATTTGCTTAGCAAGTATTGCGCTGTTCATTGTGTGAACTCTAACCCTAGCCAGCCAAGTTGACTACTTCCTCCAATGCCTCGCCACATCGCTGATAGAAAAGACTCGACTATTCGAGTATGCACGTGTCCGACCGTTCGAGATAATTCTAAGGTGTTCTAGTGGCGACGATTAAGTTCCAAGGGACTTTGGGAGCGTTTCGCAAAATATATATAAGTATATAAAAAATAGATTGTAGAAGTCAGTCGATAATATAAATTTCTGTGGTTAAGTAAAGAAATGTTATAAATTGACTGTGTTTTTAGTGTTAGTGTTAGAAGACTGTAAATAAATTAAAATAAGTGTTAGAAGGCTGTCAATAAATTAAAATAAAGATTACATTGGTGTCAGAAGTGGGATATTTAAATATATTTTGTGAAAAAAAAGGCTACGACGCTTACCAATTTAAAAGTAACGGATTTATGACGTGAATTAGAAGATAGATAACACTAAATTCTATTGGGAAAAAGGTTGAATTAGCTTAACGGCTAAAGGACGCTCTGCAATAAAATGGTTTTGATCCAGAAATGTATGTGTTTGAAAACAAGCATGGTGATATCACATCGTTGGAAAACAAAGTTTCTGATGATATATCGTTGGAAAGCAAACTTTCTGTTTCTTTTGAAAATAAAGTTTCTAACCATATTTCTTCTTTGGGAAGCAGAGTTTCTTGTGTTTTTTCAAAAGTTTCTTCTGATATTTCCAAAATGTCCACTGACATTGTTTCTTTAGAAAATAAAGTCACTCCCAAGATTTCTTTTTTTGGAAATAAAATATCTTCGTTGAAAAACTAAGCTGCTGTCGATATTTCAAGAAAAGATAAAAGAGATTTAAAAGATTTCCTCTTTTGAACAGAAACTGAAAGAGATTGAAAAGAAGATGAAGGAAACAGGTACGACAGACAGAGGAATTCGATCAATTGTAGTCGGAGAAAAAGACGACGAGGCAAAATGTAAGTTGGAGCCACGGCCGATATTTCAAGGGTGTGGATGTTTTGTTCATGTTAAAGTCCCAACTTCCGACGGAAAATCATCATGGAATAACTACATAAAACAGAAAAAGAAAAGGCTGTAAACCTGACTATTGCTCTTCGATGAAATGTCTTGGATGTGCTTCAGACTATAGCGATAAAGGAAACAGATGATTTTCCATATTTTCTAGTTTCTTCTTCAAATTTTGTGAATATTCTTCATCATTTTGTAACGATGTTCTGATCGTTAAACAGTTCGAACCGTGGGAGTGTCTATATTCGCGCACCCACTTCTACAACGAGACGGCGAAGTGGGATTCGGAGCGGCTATTTAAGGCGAGTCACTGGCGGAATTAGATAGTCTTGTAGCTAGCGCTTTAGGCACCCTTAGTCGCCGGTGTAGTGAGCCTGCGAGCCAACCCGGACAAAGAGATTTCCGTATTGAGGATTGTACTCTGTCCTTAACCAAGCAGAACCCATCGGTATTGTGAATTGATTATTACCGTGGGTCTGCACAGCCGAATATTTTGTTTGCGAGTGCGTTCGGAGCTTCCGCTGAAGTGAAGTGTGAGAGAGTATAAGTCTGAGTGCGATCGACTTCACCTATTTCATTTCTTTGTTAGTAATAATATTTTTTTATAGACGTTCGCCGGGAAGTTTATTCATCGCAGGATCCAGACGGGGACGTAGAATTCATTTTATTTTTATTTATTTATATACGTGGGAAGGTACTGGGGCGTATAATTCATTTTATTTTCATTTTCATTTTTTCATTTTCATCTATTGTATATATACTAAGTTAATAGATTTATTTTTATTTCAACCTGTGTTTTACTGAGTCTGTCGCCCCGAAAAAGCTACCCGAAACAAACTGGCGCCCGAGCAAAATTAATAACAGGCCGACAGATAAAGACACCGACTCAGTAACAGGTACATCGTGGATAAACCGACTTTGGAAAGAGGAATTGCAGACCGTACCTCTTGGCCAATTACATGTTCAAATTTCTGTAATTTTTCTGATAGGTAAAAAGAAATAAAATAAGACTTCTTCTTAGGGTGCCTGTCTTATCCGAACATTGGCGATCATTCTGGCTATGATGATTTTGTTGGTTGCTATACGAAAAAGCTGTGTTGAGGTCTTTCTATACCATGCTCTCAGGTTAGCAAGCCAGGATATTCTTCTTCGCCCTGGGGTTTTTTTTCCTTCAATTATACCCTGCAAAATGCATTGGAGTAGCTCGTATCTGCCTTGATTTCTCATAATATGTCCCAAGTACTCCAGCTTACGGCTCTTCACAATGTTGACCAAATCCGCGGTTGTGTTCATCCTCCGCAGTACTTCTTCATTGGTGACTTTGTCTGTCCATGGTATCTTCAGGATTCTTTTGTATAACCATGATTCAAAAGCCTGGAGTTTTGATAGAGTTTTAATAGAGTTTCCGCCTTCAAAGTCCACGTTACTGAGTTTCTGCCTTCAAAGTCCAAATAAGACTTACTCACAATCAATTTAATCTTACTACCAAAACGCTCGGTTTCGCTTTCTACACTTTGCAAAGCATCTTCAGGTCAAATGGTACAAAGTAAATTAAATGCTGAAATTATAAAAAGCCCATATTAGGGTGCTGTCTTATAAAGATAAAAATAGAAATTACAGTAATTATACCAATATTACATGTCTGTGTTTATTAATATGAATAAAATTGATTAACCAGACAAAGTAAAAACCCACAAATTGGTATAAGATAATTGTAATAAATTAGTAAATAAACAAAATACTACTTACATGCCGGTACAAGAATTATTAGTCAATGTTTCGGAAAACATAGTTCAAACTATCCTGTATTGTTGATGATGGGTGATCTTCGGTTTTTATTGAAACTGTTTGATAATTGGGGGGAATGATCTTGAGGGGAGAGATGTTAACAAATGAAATAGGAATAAGGTATTATGTGATTGTTTGTTAAATGAAAGTGATGTTTTATATTATTTAAATTATTAAAAGTTATTTATATTTATTTTAAAGATATTTTAAAAATGTGTGTTAATTTATTGAAATTTTTTTATTAAAAGGATAGTTGTATGACAATGAATGAAGTTAGATGTACCATTTTGTGGGTGTGCAAGTTCTTTAACTGAAATAAAATTATTAAAACTAAAACAATTAAGAACACTTAGGGACAAACAGAACACAATTAAAAAGACAAAACAGACATTAAATTTAAAATGGCTCACTTATTGGCCCTACATCACTTATTAGGAGAGGAACTGGAAAAGACTGAGTTTTTTTGTTGTCTACTAGACTTTTAAGAGGTAAATTTGACAAACTAATGTAGGTTAAGGTGTGACAATCCTTCTTCTATTTCTTAGTATTGTTACTAAAGTTTACTAGTTGACCTTGATTAAAGAAAATTGTAAGCAATATACATAATATTGGCATACTTTTAACAATCACTAAATGAATTAAATTTAAATGTAACGATCAAAATAATTGAAATAATTTCTTATATAAGAAAATCAAAGAGTCAGAATTACAAAACAAACTTAAGTATTTGGTAATAAAATATTAATCCAAGTATGTAATAAATATACAAAAATTTTTTGAA